CCTTGCGAATGACTGTGGTTAGTAATTCGGGCCTAGTTCCCTAGGTACACTGAGTGAGTCGCCGGAAGTGTTGCACTAGCTGCATTGCTTTGCTGGTCCACTTTGCGACGTGACTTTCGAAGGTCAGACTGCGATCAAGGTGTACTCCGAGCCATCGGATGTTGTCGGATGCCTGAACATCGCGAGGACCTACCCTTATTGTGGGAAGGTCGTATCCCCTGGATCTAGGGCCGAGGAAATAGACTGCTTCGGCCTTGTCTGGGTCAAAAGAGACGCCATTTTCAGCAGCCCACCCTAGGACTGCATTGACTTCTCTCTGGACAGCTGCTGCGACTTCGTTTGGAGTCAAACCTTTGCCGAGGATAGCAACATCATCTGCATAGCCAAATCTCCAAGTGCTGCCCCCCACGACTTCGGCCATGTAGAGGAGGAAGAGAATTGGGGATAAAGGAGATCCTTGTGGCAGCCCGCATTCCAGGTGAATTGGGTCTGTGACTCCGTCTTCGTGTTGTACGCGAGCGGATCGTTCTTGTAGGAAGGACTTTATCCAGGTGATAGCTGGTTTAGGCCACCCCATCTTGTTCATCCTCTGCAGCAGCCGTCCGTGGAGTATAGCATCGAATGCACCCTGAACGTCCAAAGTGACTAGGACTAATTTCTTCTGCCGTTTCATTGCATGTTCTACATCGTGGATGACGCATGAGACGAGGTCGTTGGCAGACCTGCCAGTGAGTGCTCCAAAGAGTTGCTGCGGGACTGCCTTGTAGGCGAGGGCGGTGTAAGCCATTCGCCTTGCAATCAGTCTCTCGAGACCTTTACCCAGGGAGGAGAGAAGTGCGATAGGTCTCCATCCTTTAGCTGTACTGAGATTAAGGCCAGATTTGGGAAGAAGAATTACTTCTGCTAGCTTGAATGCCTTCGGGAAATGGTTCAGTCGAAGTGAGCCCTCAAAGAGTACTCTCACTGCGTGACCAATTGACGGCCAGGCTGTCCTAAGAAGCCGCACAGATATCGCGTCTGCTCCAGGGGCTTTATTTTGGCAGACTGTTGTAACCCACTTGGCTTCTTTGTCTAAGACGCTTGAGACCCATGGAAGGTTTCCGAGTCCTGACTCGAGGTTCTCAGCTTCGACGTCGTTCTGACTGGTGAACCGGCCGAGAAGGAGGTCACACAACAGAAGTGCACGCTTTCCTGGGTCCGAAACAAAATTTTCGGGAGTTTGAAGTGGTGGAGCAGTAGATGTAAGTTGCGGCTTTACCCGGCGTGCCATTTGATACATATCGACGTCAGTTGTGGCTTTGGAGAACTTCTGCTGCCAGTACTGGCGTTTCGTACTTCTGACTATGCGACGGAAATCCTTTCTGCTCTCTTCGTCCCTAAATATCCTGTATTCGCGTTTGGCCTGTAGGCACTCCGACGTCCACCAAGGTGCTGTCCTACCCTTCTTCACACTCCCGCGTCTACCAGTGGCCCTGATTGCGTTGCTAATAGTTTGGACCAGCTTTTCAGCAAGGTTGTCCACCGCGTCTACTGAAACCATCGGCTGTAGCTCTATTCCTTGAGCCCAACAACTTAGCACCTTTGCAAAGTCTTCGAGGGCGTCGTCTGTCACTCGAAACGGCTGGCCTGTTTTGATAACAGCTCTAGCTTTCGAGTTCGGTCAGGGGACATCTCCTGCAAGAGTTCTGTGGTCCGATGTCGAGTCAAGCTCTATCGAGACGTCTGCAAGGGCTCCCGAGTTAGACCAAACTAAGTCGAGTGTGTTTCCAAGGTCGTGGGTCGGGACGCCCGGTGTAGAAGATAAGTCCATACCCTGCTCGGAAATCCATTCAGTAAGCAGCTGGCCGACACTGTGTAGCCTCGTAGCCATTGGCTGTCAGTCCGTGTGTACGGCATTGAAATCTCCGCCAATTACTGTAGGTCCAGATGGTGCCCATGATAACAGCGGCAAAAGGTCTGCTCCAGGAGCGCGGTAGACGGAGACAAATGTGACTCCTCCTACTGTTACTGCGGTGAGGTCTGGTGATGTCTCACAGATTACTTGCTGTTGGCAATTGGTCCCTTTTCGCGTATAAATGAGGGAGTGTGGCCTTGCGGGGTTGGCTGTGATATGGGGGGGGCAAGTGCTTGTTGAACCCGGGATGCGACTTGGTGAGCCAGAAGCCGTCCTTGTGTTGAGTCCAGGGTTCCTGGATGAGTAGGACATCGGTTCCTGAATCCCAGGCGGATTGCAGGATGATGTCTGTAGCGGGGTCTCCTCTGCCTAAATTAGCACAGAGGAACAAGATCGTTGTTGCCGTTGTGTGTAGCTCGGTAAGGTTGTGGTCCCTTACGGGCATTCAGCAACATTTGTAGTTTCGTTTTCAGCAGTCGCCTCAGCGGCTTTCTGCTTTGCTTCCAACTATCGGATCGAAGCGCTTCTTTCTTTTTGACCTTGTTCCCGGATCACCGACAGCTGGTCTCTTGTGCGTTGCACAGTCTTTCCGCCGGCCCGCGTCGGCCTGGCCATGCAGCTAGGCTCGGTTGCGGCATGTGGCCCATGGCAATTGATGCACCTTGGGACGAGCTGTTTGCACTCAGTAGCCTTGTGCTCAATCGATCCACAGCGAGAGCAGCGCTCTGCTCGTGAACAGATCTTAGTTGTGTGGTGTCCCCTGCATCGGTTGAATTGCGCAATTTTGGCTTTACGCTGAAGTTCGTGTAATCGACCGCTCTCTTCGAAAAGTCTTTCTCCCAGCTTTGGCTTGCCGGTTGCAAAATGCAACACCCAGTCGGTTGACGGCCTAGCCATGCTTGTCGCAAAGGCACGAGCCGAGGTCGGTCTAACGCCTGTCTTTAAGGTCGCTTCCTCCATTACCATCTCCGATTTTACTGGCGTTGGTCCTTCTAAAGTGAAGAGTCTGTCTGGTACATTAGGCGCCAACACTGAGGTCCAATTGGAAGCAGCTCCCAGTTTCATTTCCGTGCTCTCCAGGAGTACGGCGCCTGAGAGGAGCGCGTTTCTTGCTCTGTCTCCTTCAGCTAGTATCGCAAACCCTGGGTTGACGATGGTAACCTGCTTAATTGCAGTGTTAGCTAAGCGCAGCTTGCTTGCGAGGCTCATTTTGATGTAATGAGGAGACATGCGTCTCCATGGGTGGTCGGGCTTGACCCGCAGGAAAACACGCTCGTCTGGGCGAGCTAACTTGGGAGCTGAGGCAGTAGGCCTCGAAGTTTGTGTGGGCCCTGCCGCTTTTGACTTAGGCTCGCTGGCTGGTTGCGATTTTGTCGCTGCTGGTGGTGCGGGCTTAGTCTTTTTCCTCACTACCTGAGTCCAAGACCCCTCAGTAACGATGGGGGTTTGTATAGAATCGATGTCGATTGGCCTAGTAGGCTTTGTCGAAGCCGGCTCTTTGCCTTTCGCCTGGCTACTTTCTCTCGTGAGTATTTGCACTGGTCGTGAAGTGCTCGCGCTATTCTTTCCTCCCGGCCTAGTAGCCGACGCAGAGAGGGTTGTCGTCTTGCTGCTACTAGCAGCCTCTGATGGCCCACTGGATTGGGGCTCGGGATTTCCACGCAGGATATTTGTGATAATGGCCTGTAAAGCCTCTCCATTCTTTTCGACAGCTCGTCGGAGCTGTTTGTTGGTTGTGGCCGCCAGTAGGTTAATGTACCCACTGACGATACGCTCACCCTCTGCAAAGCGTATGTTAAACGCCCTCTCTTCATCTGCGAGGAAGTTAGTCAAGGAAGCACCCATTGACTCGGGGGGGTTTGGGGGCGAGTATTGGCAGCTCGCCTCGCAGATTGGTTCTGCGTTTGCTTGTGTGATGTTGTAGTGGTGGTTAGGTGGCCCTGTGAGGACCATTTCGACGTCAGGACGCGTCGAATTTACGGGTGGGAGAGGGGGCCAAGAGCCAGCCTCTGCGAGGACTGGGGCGGCATGAATAGGTGAAAATATTTATGATGGTAACAGGTCATAGATGGTATATGATTTGTGGCGGACAGCTGTCTTGTCTTGTTCATTTACGTGCTAGGTATAGTGATTCCTATTGCACTCCTACTGGAGATTAAGCACGGGTGGGGTCGGGCCGGATCAGGTTAACTACCGTAAAGTACAAGTACCTCGTCCCACCTCAATGACCGGAACCATGCCGAAACGCATCTATGTGTTGAAGCATGACGAGTACAGCAGCCCAGAGTTGAAAACAAAACAAAAGAAAACTTCCACGCAAAGTCCTGCATTACAAAAGAAAAACTTTGACAATCTCCCTTCCATTGTTCCGCCTCGGCCACCACGCGCCCGAGCCTCGATTCCTATCCCTACTTCCATGCCAGATCACCTAGGCTTTCGTTCATCACCTCCGAGTCACAGGTATCCCTGCCATGGTGGGGAGCTGGTCGGACTCTTTTGGGCTTTTTAGGTGCTGTAGTGCGCGCTAGAGCGTCGGGTAGTTCTGTAGGGACTGGGCCGTCCATACGTGAAATTAGTCACGAGCTGTTGACAGGCACGACGTTAAATTCAATCAAATCAAGTCAAATCAAGTCAATTCAATAAACACAACAATGAGGTTAGAGATTGAGTCGATGAGAAGTATACTTATTGATATGAGGATTTAATTGGTTGTGCTTATAGAATTCACAAGACTTGGTTCGGAATGGATCCTGCTAGAAGTGAAAATTTGATTTGGCTGAGAGTATTGAATCATTGCCTCGTGAGCCAACTTGCTCGGTTTTGCGAAATTTGACTGAATTTAGCTCTGGGAGAATATTTCACGCCCAGGTTCGTAGAGGACATCGAGGACAATAAATGTGCATCTGTCCTCCGGTTACGTGTATCGTTATGGCTTAAAATGTATCTTCTAAATGGAGTTTACTGCCTCGAAGCGGAGCGATGCACAATATGTACTATACCTTACTTGGATTGACCCGACTCGGCTCCGCACGTGGTGCAGATCGGCTAGGAACACCAATAGTCTAGCACACCCCCTCTCAAGCCATTATGACTAGTAAATAACGAATTTTTTAGTTATCATCCTCATTGCCGGTTAATTCGACGTAAATCATATCCTAACTCTGCCCTACCCGTTCTGAAATTATACTTCAAGAATTCATTAAGGATAAAGTATTCGGATAAAATTTATCATATGGCTAAAGATTCTGAACTAGCAAAGGTAATCCATCAACAAGTCGTTACTCTTCGCTCCTTTTCCTTGTCCAAAATTAGAATACAACAATAACCTTGCTAAATCTAGTTGGCCGAGACCTGGACACAAATCGCCCAGTAAGTATGGGTGCACGCGCCCTATTCTCGCTTGTCTTCATCAATAGCCGCCTATCATTACAGTGGAAAAAATTAGCTCTTATGTCTACAACTTTATGATTAATTCAACTTGTAACTAGTACACATTCCAACACAGTGTCTCCTAAAGAAAGGCAAACTATGGGTTAGGCTAACAAAAATATTTGTCCCAAAGGGGTGAAAATACGGCCCAAGAAGTTGAGGCAAAATTGACCAGCCTAGAGAATAAGATAGATGTTCTACTGGCCAATTTTGAGGCGTCTCAGCAACAATTGATTGACGCTGGGGTCAACCTCGCACCATTATGTCACAAGGAAGAGAAGGCATCGAGAAAATAATCCAAAGTTTGAGTCGTCTATGTTCGGCCAAGAGTCTTCATGCAATAACGAAATATACTTGTGGAGTCTGCAACTCTCTCACATACGCTGTATAAATATTGAAATAAAAAGAACAGTATACCTAAGAAGAATCTTTCATAAATTGATATCTTTACGGTTATTACATAATATCTGTTTCTTAGTCGCTGAATACTCGAGGATGGAGGTGAACAGCCCTTGATTTATTATTGTACGCCTGCTAAACAGTAGCTAGGTTAATAGTAAGATAAGCTACCTTTAATGGCCGTTGAAAAATTTGATGAATTTCTAGAAAAACTTAAGTATGCTAAGAAAATATAACACATGTAGGTATTTGTGATAAACTGAACTCACTCACAGTCCCAATTTTATTGATTAATCCCACGGCAGAAAATCCACAAATTTCATAATCACAATTCTCATATGAGGATAAAAGAGAATTGATAGTAGACTCAGGATGGTTAACAGGACAAAAGTAAACATGGATGGTCCAAGAAGAACTCCTTCGTAAGAGCTCCCCTAGGAAAAAAGAATGAATATCTACCGGTAGAACCTTTTGCAAACATGGCTAGGAAACTTACACTGAAGCTAACGTTCAGCCTTTTCCGGAAATGATTGGTAAATTTACTTAATTGATAGTTGGTCATTGGTAGTATTCATCGATTTTTATGTTTGTAAACCTTTATGAGATAGAATTCAAGAGATACCAAAAATCTAAAAGCAATAATAATAGTTACCAATCAAGTCAGCCTCAGACTTTAAGTTCTCTGGTTTTACACCTTAATATTCTAATCAGTTTTCAGGGTTAAGCCCCCATTGTCTATTGGTAAAGATTGAAAAAACAGTATTTATAAAAACAATTGAATTTTGGTGGTTTAATGTCTACTTTTAGCAGTCCTTCATAGTCATAGACTCAGTAGGGACTTAAATTTAATTCTATTCTATTCTAATCAGTTGCTACCCTCATTCATATACACTCTCTCTCCACTACCAATCCTGTAGACAGATCACAAATCGAGACTCTCTTTCCCGACCCTGGCCGGCTTAAAGACAAAAAAGATAAGAAAAACTATAAACCATTCAGGAATTTATTATCTATTAAGATCCATTTTGAAGATGCCTATTTTTGGAAAACAGGATCGGATATCAGAGAGAGATATGAAGCAGATGGAATCGGAAAGTATAAAATGACAGGCCGTGAACATTGTGGAAGTAGATGATGAGAGGGATTTACCACTTATGGAAAATATCCCGTGGAGGCTCCCGGAATTATTTTCCTCTTAAATCCTTATTACATCTATTGAGCCATGAGCAGTAGACAGGCCCGACCTACACAAGCGACCATTTGAGATAAGTCGAGTCAGCCGGAATGAGGACTTTGGTCTCCCGCTTGCATCGGCACGGTGCCAAAATTTATATAAACTCTAATACCTTCTCGCTGGCAAGCATGGATTCTTCACTTTCCGGTAATACCGGTGTAAACACTCAGTATAGTCTGCATGTTTCGGGTAGCTAAGAATAATTGCACCGGAATCGAAGTCGAAAGGAAAATCAGGCCAATCTAAATTCGACGACCTCATAGATTTTGAACCTACCTTTCTTGCGCCATTCCTCCAATTTCACTTTACCTCAAACCACCTCGGCTCGATGACCAGTAAAGAAGTTGCTCCAATTGCAAACAGGAGCTTGCCTCATTCATCACCGGCCATCACTCACTACAAATTTACGACGCTACGTATACCCGCAAGGAGGAAATTAAGTCATAATGTACAAAGATCGGGTCTTGGTTTATGAGGGACTGTTGCTCTAATGGGGTTATACATCTTGAGGAAGGACAGGCGGCTGATATGTGGAACGAGAGGGGGGATTATGAAGGGCTAAGGGCTTCTCTAAGTATATGATCGGATGAGGACTTGTGAGGGGTGGTACTGTTGGAGGGGAGCTATATGGGAGGCATAGAAGGGGATATACTACTGGCATATGTATCCTTGGCCTGTAGGCAGAGAGGACCTGTATGTCCTACATAGTTTCAGACTCAGACAGGACAATAAAATAAAAGTACAAGATAGTATACTTCTTCACAGCATTAGTGCTGTATTCCTGCTAGTTTACATCCATGTATATTAAGTATGTGAAGAATGTTACTTTTTGCTACTCTGATGTTAATCGCTTAGTCTTTGCCATTTAATTCACTCTTTTCGAGCTTTTTTTTATATTAATTCATTTCATTGTCCTGTCTGAGTCTGAAACTATGTGGGACATACAGGTCCTCTCTGCCTACAGGCCAAGGATACATATGCCAGTAGTATATCCCCTTCTATGCCTCCCATATAGCTCCCCTCCAACAGTACCACCCCTCACAAGTCCTCATCCGATCATATACTTAGAGAAGCCCTTAGCCCTTCATAATCCCCCCTCTCGTTCCACATATCAGCCGCCTGTCCTTCCTCAAGATGTATAACCCCATTAGAGCAACAGTCCCTCATAAACCAAGACCCGATCTTTGTACATTATGACTTAATTTCCTCCTTGCGGGTATACGTAGCGTTGTAAATTTGTAGTGAGTGATGGCCGGTGATGAATGAGGCAAGCTCCTGTTTGCAATTGGGATGACGCCTTTATCGGTCGTGGAGGTGAAATGATATGTGGTTAGATCGAGGTTGAGGACTCAGAAGATAATGGTGAGTGTTGCATGATTGAGAAGTCGTCAAATGGAGACATGCATGTGTTTGCTTTCGACTTTGATTCAGTTGCGATCCCTCTTGGCTATCCCAGATATGCAGAGCATACTAAGAGATTACACCGGCACCACTGGAAGGTGAAGAATTCGTCTTTGCCGGCAGGTCTTTTCGAGCTTTCATGGTATAGAATCTGGTCGAATCAATTCAATATCCTTGTTCGTCTCTTATTACATCTTTAACCGATCACCCTATAGGGAGAACTTTAATTCCTTCCTAAAATTGCTAATTTCACCTCCATTACCCATGGTTTTGTAGGTATGGTCAGTTTGTTTATCCAAGAGGATACAGGATCGCACTTATGTTATTTTTTTGATATAATGTTAATAGTGAAAAAAAAAGATATAGAAAAACACCCTCAGATATCCACCGGAACCTTGGTAGGGCCCAAAGCAGTATTGTAGTTCAGATAAGAAGTGAGCACATTGGTGTCAATTCTTATCTGTATCGAAGGAAAGTCCCCGGGGTGATTAATCCAAAATGCCAGTTTTTATATCCGTCTCAAAATGTCAAACATATGGTCTTAGCGTGTCCTTAGTGGGCAATGGGAAGAGGAGAGGTGCTTCGAAAGGCAAAAGACAGGTCATTTGCGGCAATGATGAATAGCCCAGATGATATAGAGAGAATCATAAAATGGATCCTAGCAAAGGGCTGGTTTGAACAATTCCGGCTTGCAGGAGAAGTAGAAATAGCATTGGACGAAAAGATGAGACGATGTGGACAAGGATAAGACGGAATTCAAACTGTATAAACTGTTTAAACGCACTTCCTGTAGGAAACCTCAGAAAACAAATAGACACGAGACAGAGAGTTATGGGGGATTTTTACCGAATTTGGTTTCCTCCTGTGTAAATATTATAGCTAGATCTTCATGTATGGACCCATAGGGTACCTGAACGGGCTAAATGAAATCAAATCAAAGGTGAAAAAAAAATTACTTGCGGCACTAATGGGTGCAAAAATATAACTATTTTTTAACGTAAATTTCCGTTATTACTTCTTAGTTTGGATGTTCTTGAAAAATATGGTTTAAGCCAAATTATTTCTTGAGAAATTTCTAAGTAACGATTAATCTACCGGAAATCTTTTCAATTTAGACTCAGGGAGGGGCTGAGTATTGGCTCTGGAAGGGTGTCCAAACCCTGCTGGTCATAAAATGAGGTCGTGGTCTGTATGAACGAACGAAATAATCAGAGCCTGCTCTGATTTCCTAAAATAATGAGATTGTAGGCGTAGGTCTTTGGTACGCTTCAGGATGGTTTGTAACAGAAATATGTGTTACAGGGTTTGACATAACAGACACGATGCCTATAAATCATATCTAACCCCCGGTGTATTTATAACAATTAATAAAGCGATAGCCTCGATTTACCCCTAGAACCCATGTAGCTACCCACGTTGGGTTGTCATAGCTATCTAGCTGAATAAATTTTGATTTAAAAAACTCCCACCTTGGAATCATCGACCTTATTCCCCATCGTCATATTGCTCCAATTTTTCAAATGCATCAGTGAGAACAAGATTTTCTCGGAATTCCCAGGTCGTTTCTCTGTAATCTATCTACTTGACGCAGATAGCTATTTTTCCCCCTAAAATTTGGGCTTTAAGGACTTTTCTACCCAATAGAGGGGGTGATTTCCTCCTGGTAGTGGCGGATATTGACCACCATCTGTGATTTGAGGATAAAGTGGATCATCTGAATCTCGACAGATTAGCTCAATAGAAAACTAACGATGTATATTACTTGGCATATCTAGCTCATAAATACCAGGGGCACCTTCTCGCATTACTTTACACTTAGCGCTGATCCATGATAATTTTTTCTTAAGCTATGTTGTGGTAACACTTCCCATGTTTAGTTAGACTTCATCTCCTGGCTCTAGCTATTTAGAAGATCTTCGTCCCCTGTTGGCTTTGTGCTTCACTATCTGCTGGGCCTTATTCATCATAGCTTTAACTGTTTCTTGACCATCGTATAATCGATTTTTGAAGGCGTTAGCTCCCGTTTTAGAGCTTGAATCTGATCTAAACAGTGTTGATCCGAACTGAATAAGTTGGAGATGAAAGCCGAGAGTCGGGAAAAAATGGCTCAGTCCGACATATATGCTATTTCTATTGTTTATTGCGACCGTTTTCATAGGAATAAGTTTTGCCAAATCTTCTCGGGCGTAAGAGATTTCGGATCGAAAGTACGTTAGCACTTAGTAGCTCATTCTCTCGATACCTCTATTTACCTGAGAATGGAATACAATTGATAGACGCTACTGATTGTCAACACGTTGACAAATTCTTCTCCAAGAGTAACCGACCCAGTTAGACACCCGGTCTGATTTTATGGAGTTGGGAAAACCGTGATAGCGCCACTGGCCCAAAACAAAGTTATCTGAACAAGCTTAAGGATTTTATCGTATCGTGTTACACCTCAGAGCTACGTCATCAGATAATTAACAGAATATTAGCTCTAGTCAATTTATCATGCCGGGATATATTCTTTTGAAATACAGAAAACTAATCGAACCATTATAAGTGAAACGTAGAATATGATTTTAGACATGCTCATTAGCTTCTCTCTTACAACATAGATTGATCACTTTCCCAAATAATGTGTTAACTAACTCCAGTATGAGCACGCTTTTAGATTAGAAATTCTGAGCCAGCTTTGTAGCAACCTGACGCCTTTAGATAAAAAACTTTTCTGTCCAACCCCATGGTATCTTTTCTTAACTCCGTTTCAACGCTTTTAAAAATTTAATGACAACTCCTACCAAAAAATTCCCACTAAAACCCCACATTCTAATTCAGATTTATTCTGTAAAGTTTCGCCTTTGAAGTTCATTTCCCTGATCTACAAGTTCATCAATTTTTGTCGTGAGTAATTTTGCTGCGTCATAGGAATCACAAAAAGCATCTAGCTGTTGAATCATCCCTTGAAGTATCCGACTAAACTCGGATTTCATCTCATCTGCTGTTGCCGTTCCCATCAAGCTTTTCTCTGACGGGTGTATCGGCATTATAGGGGGGTGCAATATCGGAGGTGAGGTCGATGCTTGATCTTCATCAGGTACATCATCAAATTGGGAATAATTCGTTTGCGTCCTTTCTGTATCAGAGTAATCATTGGAATCACTCAATCCTAGAATCTGCGCATGAGAACTTGATATTTTATCTTCATCGACATAAATTGAGGGCTCTCTCTCTCTTGAGGAGTGGTATACCGATGGGTGTCTTTCAAACTCAAATGGATTTATGATAGCAGCTGGCTCGCTGGTAATCGATCCAGTTTCCGAAAGGCCAGTAGAGGGTCTAGGAGAGCCACGTATAGGTTCAGGCAAGCTCATATCTAGATCGATTAGGGATTGTATTGACATTCGATCTGTCGCAGAAGCTGGTGATCTCATTGCTCCTCCAAACATGCTTACGGGTTCAGTTGTATGATGAACTAATGAAGGACGGGGATCTATCAAATCTTCAGCCTCAAAGTCTTGAGGAGATCGATAGGCTTCAGAAACTGCTGGCATTGTTGGGAATTTCCAGTCTTGGGTTCGCCTATTTTTTTTACCCTCTGTTAAATCTTCCATAGGGGATTGACCGCTAGCTCCTGATAATGAAGAAATTTCATCTTCATTGCTAGCTTGCCTACTAGCTTTAATGGTGGCCATGTCTGAGTAGCTTGAATGGCTAGCTCCTATATCATGATCGTCAAGATCAATCATAGTATCTCTGATGGGAGGTTGAGCCGAGTTATCACGGAGTGGTAAATCTGAATTAAGCCTGACCATGGCACCACCGTATTGTGCCCGGCTATTATCGTCATAATTAGATAGGGTATTAGGATCAAAGATCTTTTCAAGTGGTTGAGCTGGCATTCGAGATAATGCCTCTGGTGGAGCGCGTCTCCTAGAGGGCCTTGAAACTCGCTGCGGCTTTGCAGTATCTTCATCAAAATCGAGCACCGCAGAGCCGTATGCATCGTAAACATCACGGGCGCTGAATTCATCAAGAACTTCCTTGTCAAAGAATTCTGTAGTGCTGAAATTCCATTCATAGTTCGCGGAAGGATTTGTTGATGCATGTCCTTGTGCACCGTGTTGCATGAATAAAGATTTTCTGCTACCGCCTCGTGACTCCCACACTTTGAATGAGCCGACGAGAGCTCTGAGGCTACACGTGGGATAACTCAACTCCGTATCTAAGATATAACTATGCTTTTGCACATCTTCGATACTTGGACGGGCTGATGGCTCCTCTTCAAGGCAGTATGAAACCAGGTTACAGAGCTCATGAGAATAATCTCCAGCCTTGAGCCTTGGGGCATGGTGTTTCAGGTGGGTTCCGAGCCTATCATACGGAATACCATTTGCAACATTCGGAGGCAAGCCGGTGGCTATTTCATAAACCATGGATCCGAAAGCCCAAATATCGACTTCCTTACCGTAGCTAGCTGATCCAGAGAGAAGTTCAGGCGCCATCCAGTGTGGGGTGCCAATTATAGTTGATCGCTTATCAAACTTACTATCGATAACTCCAGCGACACCAAAGTCGCATAATTGAACACCGCCTTGTTCAGTGATGAGTACATTGGCACCTAAAAGTATTAGCAAATAAAAGGGAATAATAATTGTGAATTACATTTGATATCCCGATGAATAATGCCAGCTGCATGAACGTATCTGAGAGCTTCGGCGACTTCCCTTACAATTGGTATGATCCATTTTTCCTGGAGTCCGGCGGGGTATGTTGGCTTCATCTACATGACAATTTTTAACCAGCGCGCATGCAGCATAATCCAACAATTTACTGACCAATGTTGCGACACTACCACCCACACAATGCTCTGTTATCATCCATACTGACTGCCCGATTACCAAAGCCTCAATTACATGATTTATGTTCTTTGCTTTAGTCTCTCTCAAAATAGATAGTGCGCCAATCTCCTTGAGAACATCACTGTATGCGTCCGCATTGCGAGGATTCTGCGTATCGCTCTCGTCAATATCAATGATCTTAATGGCGACCACGGCAGCAGATCTCATATCTTTTCTAGATGGGTATTAGATGATTGCATGTCATGAACTGACACGTGATATGGTGAATGACTTGCCCCTTATAAACTCGTCCGAAGCTACCTTTCCCTATCAACTCTTCTAATCCATATGGCGGTGGATCTTTCCCAGATTTTTGGCATTGTTCAATGACTTTTGCTTGCATCTGACGAGCATCTTCGGCTGCTTTAGTTTTAATTGGGTTAGATTCGACGGAGCGAGTCTGATGCCAATCCATTACGGGTATGATATACACGCTGAATAAAGGAAGTAACTGTTTGTTTGTCTGTAAGAGACAGTAGAGCTTTAAAAGTCGCTATTGTAATAGGTAGCAGATCTGGTAGAGCCGTAAGCAAAATAAATAACGTTTTAAATATTGAAGTATTTCCGACCAGCGCCGGTAAACGTAGCAGCGATTTCGGAGGTGCCGATGACGATTGTTGCAAGAGTGGCGACCAAATCTGTGAATTGTCTGCATGAAGAAATCAGTAAAGCTTTGTGTGACGTAATGGGCGCCTGAAGATAAAGATAATGAAGAGTAGGAATGGAGGTAGCGTCGGGCTAGATCGCACTATGCCGGATCCTGAACACGTTAGCCGAAAAGATCGCTCTAGCTTGTAGCACGTGATACTAAATCACGCATCTACGAGAATGGTCAGATGACAGTGGTTTATCCGAATTATGTTCATTCATTCATTCATTGATCTAGTTTAACGTCCTATGCGGTATCTATATACAGAACCATGAAGACGGTAAGCCGCTTTGGTAAGGGAAAAAGCTTTCAACAAACAAAACCCGATGTCCTGCCACTTTGAACCGACCCGGCTTTACGCTGAGGACGTTCCTTTCAACCGCAATTATGTAAACTTTCCTCGAAATTCGTTAACTCCCCCTTCAATCAGACTAACGTTGTGAAAAATTAAAAAGAGAAGGCACCTCCTCACTCGGCGTTGGTCTTCGAAGTGTTCGAAGAGTAGGTCCCGATGGCGGTGCTGCTGTCGAGGCGATTATTGGTGCCGCTGGGGCTTCGACTACCTTACGCGGTCGTCCTGGCCCTCTTTTGAGTACTTCAGCCTTTTTACTGGTGACCATGGTGAATCCTTGATCATCAGTCGTTTCGACTATTCGCATTGGCGCCACCGTAGGTTTCTCGTTCCATATTTCCGCCGTCCTCGATAATAGCTCCATCCGAGCCTTCTCCACACTTCCCTTGTAGACCTGGTAGGTCCGACACGCTGCTTTCTGCCACGAACGGTGCTCCTTGCCGCAGTTCGCACAAGAAACCCTTTTCCTCGGACAGTCCCGAGTTTGGTGAGCGCCAGCGCACTCACCGCACCTAGCTGCCTTTCTACACGACGCCTGCGTGTGTCCCCACTAGCTGCAGTTGTAACACTGCTTTGGCTGTGACCGTGGTGACCACACCTGCGCGGTGTAGAGCATGGCGTTCATCACAAGGCCGTTTCGAACCACTTCCGTCTGCATTGCCTCCGATGGGAGGCTTACCACTATTGATCCACGAGTGCGGCCATTTTTCTTTGACCGCTGGTGTTCCTTTCCGTCGTGTAACCACCTTATACGACTTATCACTAAGCCTGGAATCCGTGCCTTTGTTGCCGTCTCTATCTCCCTGATGATAGCAAAATTATTGGCATCTCTGCCCCCTTCAATTCGTGTCCGCAATGGGACACCGTCTACCTCGACTGGAAAATCTTGCCGCAAAATTTTAAAGTCCGTCGGTTGCCGCATATTAAGCGCCGCGTCTCTCTGGGACGCCGACTGGACAAACACCTCGGTGTCGTTGCTTCGCATCTGTCGAATTGCAAATGCGCCTTCGATGTGTTGTTGTGCCTTTGACAGCAGCTCTTGTGGCTGCAGGTTCTGTGCGCCATCGATTCTTATCCTAACCGCTGTTTTCGTCATTTGCGGAGCCACGACCGACGCGTAGCTCCTTTGTGTCGGCGCGCCCGAAGCTACTGCTGGTGCAGCTTTTCGAGCGGGATCCGCGAGGCTCTTTTTGACAACCTCCTCGAGCGCCATCATCCTCTCCTCGATAGGAGACTTCTTCTGGGACATTTCCGTCCAGGCCTTTTTGTGCGCGTTGAAGGCCTTGACGGCCTCGTTCACGTCCTCCATTGAGGGTAGGTCCTCCTCATCCACCTCTCCCATTACGATTAGTCTGACCTTTTTCAATAGTTTCCCTAAAATTTCAAGGTTCTTATCCTTCGGAGCTGTTTGCGCTCCGCTGCCGTTATTTGTTGGTGCCATTGTCGCATTTTGCGACGCGTCGAATCCGCTGGATTTACCCACACCAGCACCTACACTCGCCATGTTGGAGCACGGAAAGCGAAAAGATGAGAGGAGGGTAATAAAGATGTAAAAATAAGAATCACGATGTCAAATTGATGATACGGGCAGCGTCTCCGAATTATGTTATTTACTCGAGTAAAAAAAAAATTTGAAGCTTTAGTAATAATAATAGGTAGTCAGACCTTTTATCTCGAATATAAATTGTACCAACCTAAGATATCTGGTTGAAAAATACGATTACATAGATTAAAAGGAAAGTTTGCTGTGAACTATCATACTTACAGTTATGTCAGAATATGATAGAAGGAACGAACTTGTCCCTATTCAAATTTAATTTTTCTTGAAACTTATAAATCAATCCTATTTTATGAACTTTCTCTTGTGGCTTCTATTAGACAAAATATTGCTTGATTTTAGAATTTATAATAATTGGGGCTATCAGGTAGGCCACGTTTTTGGTACGCACGCAACTACAAATTATTTATTTACTTTCACTTCGGTAGTTACTTGAATCAATGCGCTCTACAACCTCAATGACTGAGGGGTCATTATTTCTTTAATACTAAGTTCTATTGTGCGCCAAGCCTAAAGATTAAGTCCATGGTGACGAGGACAAGGGCTTATAATCATTACAGGAAATATAATTTAGAGCTGCTGCCTCGCAGATTGAAGTCTATTAAACGCAGAAAAGACTCCAATATGTTGGCCGCTCGAAGAACTCACCAGTTCAAAATGTCATACAGTCTGCCTGTAGTAATATTAAGCTGCTCAAGCAAAAGAGAGAAGATATTTGACCAAGAAACAGAAAATGTGATTTAGCAACCTGGGTGGTATTTGTGGAGAGGTCTAATCCAAAAGACAGTAGAAAGAGGCAGAAATAGTCGAAGCATATCAAGAATGGTTGAAATCCTACTCGATCCAAAGGCTAATCCAAAAGCCTCGACAACTTACTATCGCAGACGCCAAACCTTGGAGAGCAGTTATGCTCTATCAAATTTGATAGTCGGTACGGTGGAAAATAAGTCTCCAGGAGTTGCCGTTTTCTCTTTGCCAATGGGGGACTATTCAACACCTGTCAGTGGTGTCCCCTACGAACCTCCAGCTTTCACTGTAGAGTCTGCAGAGCCGAGATTGAGAAACAAAGTCCTCACTTCGAAGAGGATTCCCAATCGCTTTCGCGGTCTGTATCTTCTTCATCTCTCAACACATTCCCCTATCACCATCATCATGAAGCTAACCACGACCAGATCAGATGGTAGGGTCTGAGCCCTACTCATCACCAAACCTTGATCATGGAGGAGATGCCATCCGATGAGTTTCCAGGGCGTACCCAGCACCCGATACGGAGATGGCGGATTGGATCAAGTCGACCTCTACTGTTACAAGGAGGGGAGATTTAGATGAATATGCGCACCTCATATGGTCCCGGTGTCTAGGCCTCGCCTGGCTGGGGCTGTAGGCTTTTTGAGACTTTTTATTTTTTTTTATCTTTTTTTTGTTGTGGGAGAAGGTTCCGTGGAAAAGGTGGCCGAATTCCACGGGTAAACACTGAGCTGAATGGCTATTCATCAAGGGGAATATATCAATGATATTTCAAGTAACAAAAGAGGATAGGAGCACTGTACAAGGTGTGGCCTGGGTCAGAGAGGAGCCCAATGTGCTAGATAGTCATAGACTCAAGTAGTACAATAAAAACACACACATCTCTTTACCGATACCTGACAAGAGTCCAACCAATATTTATATAGAAAACACCAGGAGTCAATATCCCAAGCTGTCCTTGTGGCTTTCAATCATGGTATCCAAAGCACGTGATTATGTCTTGAGCTCGATCACCAAATGGTTGTGGTGAGGTCTGGAGACAAGCCCAGGATAGGTCCTTTAAAGCCATGATACAAAATTCTACTGACATGAAAAGGATTGCACAGTGAATCCCAGATAATGGCAGGATAGAGCAATTCCAGATGGAAAAGGCGGTCGAAATGCTGCGAAACGGAAGAGACAGGGCGACCAAATTTTGGGATAAATAGAGTAAATTTTATTGGCTTACGTGGATACCACTGTAGTGTAACTATACTTCCTAAAGAACAAACAGCAAAACCAAAGACAATGGGAAAAGGCTTTGGGAGGTTTTCAGAGAGATTGTCCTCAGTTTAAATATTTAGGTTTTTAGACACCTGCATAAGCCCAAAAGGCTCCAAATAAAGAAGGTTTAATCAATTCAAAAGCAAAATTATCATTCATTTCTTATTTCTTATTTGTAATTTTTAAACTAACAAAAACTACCGTCTGCAATTCCAAGGGGGTCAACGAAGGTTGGGCAGTGGTGCTATAAGTTGACTGTTATTTGCAATTTAATACAAATGGTTGGAAGCTTGCCTGGCTAGAATCAAGTAGTAAGACATCAGCCAAAAATGTGAAGGATCTCGTTGTAGATAGAGTTAGTGAAGTGTTGGGTTTTTAATCCTTTTTTATCAGACTCTGCATTTATATGTTCGTCATTTTTCGACTGTTCTCAGCTATCAGCAACCAGCAAATGACCTTCGTACCGTTGTCAAGGGAGATGATTTGTTGATAGAATGAAGGCATAGCTAACTATGACCTGTAGACTTGGAGGGCCTATTTTCCCGTTTTAATATTTGACTGGTAGCAGCTAAAGAGCGTAAAAAGTTGTTTGGCCCGGCCTTCAAACACTTCATCTTTCGCCATTGCAGGGATAGCTATTCCGGCTACCCCATACCCACTAAGTAATCTGGGACCTGCATGTCCTACATAGTCATAGACTCAGACAGGACAATAAAATGAATTTATAAAAAATAAAAGTAATCTGGGTTAGCAAGCCTAACGTAGAGGAGAACGTCCTGGATCTCTAGTCTTTTTTTTGCATCAGATTTTAATTGCGTATGCAGCTATCTAGCTATGACACAATAT